GTGGCTGGAATTCAACTTTCGAAAGCATATCATTTGGTGTACCAATGTTATGTTGGCCTTTCTTTGCGGATCAACAAACAAATTGTTGGTTTAGTTGTAATCGTTGGGGTGTCAGGATTGAAATTGATAGCGATGTGAAGAGGGAAGTGATTGAGGAGGTTGTGAGAGAGTTGATGATTGGAGAAAGGGGTAAAGAGATGAAGGAAAATGCATTGAAGTGGAAGAATTTAGCAGAAAAAGCAATCACTTCTCCAACTGGATCATCTTATATGAATTTCGACAAGTTGGTTAGGGAAGTGCTATTGCCAAAAGCTTCTTCATTTCTTCCACTAGATTGGCATGTTCAAATAATGTTCTACTGTTTTCTTATCTAGTTTTTGTCTTCTTAAAAAAAAGGAAAAGGGCCTAAAATACCCTTCAACTATATGAATTGGTACAAAACTACCCTTCATCTACCTATCGAGCCTAAAATGCCCTTGACATCAACATTTTGGCTCTTTTTTGCCCTTATCTTTAACGGTCTAAATGATAACCACAATTAACAAATTCATTAATGACGTGTCACTATCCTATTGGCTACCTTAACAGTTAATTAAATTAATTAAAAAACCCACAAAAGACCCACCCGCTCCACGCAGAAAGTCCCACCCATTGAAAATGGACATTTTCTTCTTTCTTTCTTTGGGATTGTCATCATCAAACTGATCAACAATAAAGCTCTCAAACATGGAGGCACATTTGGGAGATTTTGGGCTAGCTAAAGCTGTTCGCGATAATTATGATTCCTACAACACTAAATCAAATTTGTGGTTTGCTACTTTGTTTGGTCATATTGCTTGTGACCTCCCGTACCAGTTGAGATTAAGTAGACTGCAAGGAAGAAAATCACCTCGTGTACCTTTCTAGGTTCGTGATAGAGGTCAGTGTCACAAGGTTTCAAACTCGGGATCACTCTAGACATTGTCAAGTGAATCAAGCCTGACAAGAACAAATAAGGCAAAAGATTATTTGTTTAGTCCTTCTAGCACAAGTGACCCTCAGGAATTTCTGGATTATTAAGAAGTATTACCAGGAGGTAGACAGTGGAAGAGACAAGTACTATGGAAAATCTTCCGAAGAATGCATCAGCCAGAAATCCTTGAAGCAATGGCATCAAAGTGGGGCTTTTGGGTGGAGTGGGGTGGATATTTTGTGGTCTTTTTAATTAGTTTAATTGACTGTTAGGGTAGCCAATAGGATAGTGACATGTCATTAATGAATTTATTAATTGGGGTTCTTATTTAGACCGCTAAAGATAAGGGCAAAAAAGGGCCAAAATATTGATGTCAGGGGCATTTTAGGTCCGATAGGTAGATGAAGGGTAATTTTGTACCAATTCACATAGTTGAGCGGTATTTTAGGCCCTTTTCCGTACTTTTTAAGATATAGATATAAATTTTTATAGTAACAACAACTTGACGAATAAATATAATTGGTTACATTATCACAAAAATATCATCAGTTTTAAGAAGAGAAAAATATCAAAAACACCTCCAAATTTGGCGTGGATTATTCATTTCGTTCTCAAACTACTGAGCTTGACAAACTAAGCTTAAATACGCTCCTCTTATGCCACATGACATAGCAAGTGATTATACTTTCTTTTTAGTGCGTGAAAGATTAGAAAATCGTCACATTAGACATTTTTCTTAAAAAGAAATTTCCCTTCAATTTTTACTTTCCAACCGCTACAATATTCTTCTTCTTCAAAGGAATGGGGACCCACCACGTCGAAAAGGCGGTTCAACCGTTTAATCAATAGTTTCCCTTACAACATTAATCAATGTTTTCAAGCTTAAAATCCTTTGATTCCATGGAAGTCAAAGGATTATGTTGTGAGATTGGAGAAAAAAGTTTGGTCGGGAAGAGAGCTGAGACGTTGAACTATAACCAAACCCCTCTAACTTTTATTTCTTTATGTTAATTTTTTAAAATTAAATTAAAGAAATAATCTAATGCCACATATCAGTACAATTAATGACTCTTTTGTCTAATGTCCACAACGACCGCCTTATTTTGATATTTTGTTTTCATCCCAAACGAACGTTACGTTACACATACAAGTCTGTTCTCTCTTCTCTTCTTCGCTACCATTCTCTTCCACAGTAGGACTGAAATTAGGCGATGAAGATGGGTTTTAATTTCTCAATTTACTTCTTCTTCGATAAAACAGTTTACTTTTTTTTGTGGGTGTATGCAACAAGAAAATGGTGAAGATGATGGTGGTGAGAATAAAATTGGCAAATGAGTAGAGACATTGCTATGCTTCTTGAATCCATTTTCGTATGCCAATTCTAGTATTCAGGTACCTTTTCCCACTTTCGTCTGACTTAGGGTTGGGGGTTTAGTTGATTTGATTGAATAATTTATATGTTACCTCGAAATCAACTCGTAGGAATGGGGAATTTGGTATATCAGTCATGAGTGTTAGCTCTCTCTCCTGTTACTGCTTAGAATTAGTAATGAAACATATGATTTTGCTTTTCTTCAAACCCTTCTTCTTGTAGATTGATGAATTTTAGTGAATTCAATTGATATGACTTTGGATCTTCATCGATTCATTTTCCTTCTCGTTTCTGTGTTATTTTAGCTGTATTTATCTATTTTCTTTCTGTATCAATTGATGATTGTTCGATCCTGATAATTACCCAAATGATTTTCACCTCTTCAATATGGATTTCCCAACTTTTTGAGTTTTGCACAAATACAATCTGAAAAAAAATAATTAATATGGGAAATTTCAATCAACTAGCAGCTTCATAGAGGCAGAGTTTTTGAAAATTGATATTAGTAATCCGTTGAATGTGGGGGCTAGATTTTGTTGCCGTGGAGATGTTTGATCAAAGTCCCAAAAGAATTTTAGTTTAGTGGAATATTATGAACAATTATGATTTGTTCAACACATTTTAATACTTGAACAGATGCTCAAACTTGTCTCAGCGGACAAGTAAGTATTATAATTTTTAGTATGCATATCTAGATAATTCAACTATGAACACTCCAACTTACAAGATGATCATCTACACACCTCCAAAATTTATGTTTCAGGTAGTGTCGGGTGTCTACAAGACACAATGAGGACGAGTTGGGAGTGTTTGGTTGTCAATTGAGACCAAGTTGAGGTGTCTAGATGTGCCACTCTCAAAGTTGGAGTGCTTACTTGCCAGCTGAGACGAAGTTTGAGTTTGTTTATGCATTCTGTTTTTTTTTTTCTCAAGAACTCATCTCTCTGAATATCTGCAATTCTGTTGCTCTCTCGTTTGAATGTTCAATCAGATGCTTGGATAATTGTTTCAACTTCACATTATTGTGGCAAATTTTGTGTTCAACTATTGTATATCTATTATGGATTCACAAATTTTACAAGAGTTTGACCTCTTTGTAGCTTCAAATAGCCGGTCCTGAACCCGGATAATAAAAGTGGTTTGCAGTAGGTTGATGACCAGGTTCAATGGGGAATTTTAGTCAATGCCACTGTTCGCAATCTCAGTCAGTTCTCTTTCTCTCCTTGTTTGTGTTTTTTTGAATTTCTGTTGAACTAATATTTGTGTATCACCATGACTTTGGATCCTTTACAACCTTGTTTAATTATATTTGATCTCTAGGTTGTTTTAATTTTCTTGTGTATCTAAAGTCCAAATTCATCTTCTCCTATTATGTATCCAGAAGAAAAAGCAAGTTATGCTATCCCTATACACGATATGTATTTGAGGAGCTCTAACTGCAAACAAGGAATCAATTTGTTATTCAACATAGATAGTAGAACTAGAATAGGAATGCCCATTGGGCTTGTAGTTATACCTAATACAACAGCTCTGAGCCTAAATTTCCTAGTGGATCATAAGTAAAACCATATATTTCAACTATATTAAGTGTTAAAAGCCTACGAACTATGGTTTCACCACATAATTTTCCTGCTAATTGGCCTTTCTTAGCTTACCAATCACCTATAACTACATGAAATAGGGTTTATACATTCATTATGTCATAAAAAGTTTTGCCACATTAAAATATAATAGTGAAGTCACTGAGCTAGTAAGTTATTGATTTGACGACAATAATGTGAAATTAGCTCTCACAAAAATGTTAACTACATTCAGTTCTTGTTTCAGTCAAACCAAAATGGTGGTTTCACATACATTTGATATCCAACACTTTAGTAACAACTTAGTTTATCGTCAATTGAAGTCTTAAATTGTCATGCTCTTTAGTTAGAGAAAGATATTTGAATGGCATGATCAGTTATCCAATATAGAATCTATACATATCATTCCCATGTTCAATGTTTCGTTGTCTCCATGTTGATTTGACACTAAAATCTTTATGTCTCAACCATTCACCAAAGTCTGTCTATTTTATTATTACATTCTAGAGTCAACGTTTGTCCACAATATATTTTGCTATATCTACAAGATCATTTTGTAACTAGGTTAGTAATACAAAACTCATGAATCGTTTCATCAATTTTACATTATATATTAAGGAAATATCTAGAATTTAAGACGTATGAGCCTAGTTGGGAAAAAGGAGGACAGAACATGTAGCTCAGGGGGACAGGCGCTTGCTGGACAAATCCCAATGCCAGTCCCCAGCCTTTCGCCACAAGGTGTTGTTGTTGTGTTGATTGTTTATTTTCCAAATTGGTCTGAAATATACTGCATGTAAGCTGTTGTTGTGTTGATTGTTTATTTTCCATCTTGCTTGTCTCTTTTGTTAAACAATATTATAGTTCTGAACTATAAGTCTTGTTTCATTTCATCTGATGCTTGTCTTTTAAGTCTTTTGATTCTCATATGTGGAACTTGTTGTTTGTCTAAGATAATTATGCCTTTAGCTTTCCTTGGTAATGTTGCAAATGAATTATGCATTTTGTCCCTGTAAAACTAAAACATTAGTTAGCTAAAAAATATGCAGCGCTGTTTCCTTCTCTGTGTGTGCGCTGAAGCTGTATGAGACCTCCTTCAATCATCTCTCTTATCTTCCTTCAAAGTCGTAGCCTCAGCAAATAGACTAGTAGAGTCTGCCATCCTTCTACATAGAGCATATTGAGTATCCCCTTCATCATTTCTAATACAAAATGTTATAGAACTTGGACCAGGGTTTCCTTTAGAAGCACCATCTGAATTACATTTAAACCAACCTTGATTAGGTAGTTTCCAACTAACAGGTACAGATCTTATCACATATTTGTATTTTTGAAGAAAATCCATCAAAAGGGGCCATTCTTGTGGGATGTTCTTCATCCATGGATACAAAATCAGGGTTGAGAGATGAGTGCTTCTAGAGATCTCATATATCACTCTCCTCCAAGTGATAGTGCCTCCATAATTCAACTTATTTCTTCTTTTCCATAACTGTCAGCATATCATACTAGGAATAGGTAAATGATCCGACCCCGTTCTAGGTAAATGATCCACTTCCATAGTCGAGAACCATTCCAAAAGATGCGAGTTTGCCAATATTCGATCCAACCTTTTAAAAATGCAATCAGGCTACCTTTAAAAAGGATTTCTTCATGTTCACAAGAATTAACACAAAATGAAAAATCTTCCATCTCCTGCTGAGTTACGGGTAAACCCCCTATTTTCTCATCTTCATGAAGATTAACATTAAAATCTCCACCAATCAACCAAGGAAGATTAGTATCATTACCACTATATATATCATTCCACAAATTCAAGTCTTTCTCCTTCAGAACATTTGGCATATACCATAGTGATAATCATTTGCTTCTGATTCTCTAAGAATGATATTTTTACAGTGATTTGTTGGTCTGTATCATTGATTACTCAAGAATGATATTTTTATAGTGATTTGTTGGTCTGTATCGTTGATTACTTCCACATCTATCCCTTCCTTAACAAAAAACCATATCTTTCCATTGATATTTGTGCCAGCTGTATGCATGTTCAGTTTTCTTTTATATCTCCACAGGTGTCTCAAATGGCTCCGTAAGAGATATAAGAAAATACTTATGATGTCTATTTAACATTTGCAATCTATTAAAAGCTTGCTATGTGTTAATAGATCTGATATTCCAAAAGAAGAAAATACTTTGTTTTTTGGTCCCTCTTTTTGGCACAAATCTTGTGTAGGTTGCTGATTTTCTAAGCTTGTCTGCTTTTTGCCCCTTTTAACAGATTTATATATATTTGAATGCTGCTTCCTTTTGCATATAACAGGATATACAACCTGTTATACAAGCATTGTTAGGCTAATATTTATTAGTTGATATAACATATTTTGACTTCAAGCTCATCTCATTGTATCATTTTATTTGGAAGTTGAACGAAATTTATGTTTGGTTCAGTTATGAAAGTATTCTACATTTCTTATCATAATTTCACTGATATATCAATTTATCTACTTGAATATAGAAGAAAATAAATTCTAATCCCTTTCCTTTGTTTACTTTGCATGTGAACTCTCTTCGTCTCTAATATGAGTCCATCGGGACTTCCCCTTTGCATTTTGTTGGGTTGAAATCCAACATTCTTTGTTCGCGTATACAGGTGAAAGGAGCTGATATACGACATATATATACTGTTATACAGTGTTATATACAATTGAAAAGAGGCCCAAACAAGCATATGTTTTTCAAAAGAAGCTGAAAAGGGAAATAAAATTGGCCAAATGTTTCTGGGCAGCAGCAGTTTAGGCCCGAAAGGCCCAAGCTCTCTCTCTCTCTCTCTCTCTCTATTATTGGATTGTATTTTAGTTATTTTGTTTTGATTAATTCTAACTTTGAATAGTTAGATTAACTTAATTAAATGAAAAACTACAGGTGAAGCTTTACAATGAAAAAAACTAATATTTCGAAGACGGTTACACGAAGTATAAAGATAAGAAAGGTTAACAAATTTCCTTCGATAAGCAATGGAAAAAAAAGGAAACATTAAAAGAGATATAATACTCTTGTTTGATTGTTTGATTACTTGTATTTATTTTCAATAGGCATTTTCTATTCTAGTATAAATACAAGGTAAACAATTGAATAGGTCTGGCGCCTTGAAGTCCCAGGGGGTGGGGGGGAGAGGGCTAAGGGCCTCGGGGTACGGCGCATCGAGGTCCTGGGGGTTGAGGGACTAGGAGCACGATGCCTCGAGGTCCCGGGGGGGTTCGGGGTAAAGCCTCGAGGTCCTGGGGGCAGGGTAGGGGCCTCGTGGCAAGACGCTTAGAGGTCCCGGGGGGGGGGGGGTAGAGGGCGGCCAAGGGACCTTGGGGCACAGCGCCTCAAAGGCTCGGGGGAGGGGGATGGGACTCGTGGCATGGCGCCTCAAGGTCTCGGGGGGTAGGGGGTAGGGGAAGGGGACTCAGGGAACGGTGCCTCAAGGTTACATGGGGTAGGGGACTCAGGGTACGGTGCCTCTAGGTACCGGGGGAGGGGTAGGGGCCTTGTCGCATGGCGTGTAGAGGTCCTGAAGTAGGGGTTGGGGCCTCGGAGTACGGCGCCTCGAGGTCTCGGGGGGTTCGGGGTAAGGCGTCTTGAGGTTCTGGGGGCGGCGTAGGGGACTAGTGGCACGGTGTCTAGAGGTCCCGGGGGGGAGGGGCCTCGGGGTATGGCGCCCCGAGGTCCCCAGGGGGCGTAGGGGCCAGATAGCACGGTGCCTAAAGGTCCCGGGGGGAGGGGCCTCGAGGCACAGTGCCTCGATGTCCGAGGGGGTGGGGTAGGGGACTCGTGGGACGGCGCCTAGAGGCCCCGGGGGAGGGGGTAGGGGTCTCAAGGCAGGTGACTCGAGGTGTCGGGGGGGTAGGGGACTCAGAGCACGACGCTTCGAGGTCCCGGGGATGTAGGGGTGCGGGGTAGAGGCGTATGGGCACAGCGCCTAGAGGTCCTTGGGGGGTAGGGGACGGGGTAGAGGGCTCAAGGCAGGTGACTCGAGGTGTAGATGGGGTAGGGGGAGCGGGGTAGGGGACTCGGAGCACGGCGCCTCGAGGTCCCGGGGATGTAGGGGCGTGGAGTAGAGGCGTATGGGCACGGCGCCTAGAGGTCCTTTGGAGGTAGGGAACGGGGTAGAGGGATCGGATCCTTGAGGTCCCGGGGGATGTAGGGGGCGGGGTAGAGGCCTAGCCCCTCGAGGTCCCCGGGGGGTAGGGGGCGGACCTCCGGGTACGGAGACTCGAGGTATCGGGGGTTGGGGGTTTGGGGCTAGGGGCCTAGGGAACAACGCATCGAGGTCCTAGGGGGTTAGAGGGGAAAGGGCCTCGGGGAACGTTGCCTCAAGGCCCCGAGGGTTAGGGGTTATGGGCTTCGAGGTACCGAGGTAGGGTATAGGTGCCTCGACGAACGACGCCTAGAGGTTTCGAGGGGTATGGACCTTAGATCACGGCGCTCCAAGGTCTCGGGGTAGGGGTAAAGGGGCCTCGGAGCACGGCGCCTTGAGGTCCAGGTAGGGGGTAAAGGGATAGGGGACTCGAGAGGGGGGTAGGGGTCTTAGGGTACGGTGAATCAGGGTCTCGGGGGGAGGGGGGGTAGGGGAATTGGGGATCAGCGCCTCGAGGTCTCGATGTGTAGGGGGCCTCGGGGCACGGCTTCTCGAGGTCTCGATGGGTAGGGGGCCTCGGGGCACGGCACCTCGAGGTCTCAATGGGTCGGGGGACCTTGGGGCACGATGCCTCGAGGTCCTGAAGGTGTAGGGGGTAGGCGGGGTAAGGGCCTAGGGGCACGTCCATAAAATAATATATAATAGTACGTAGGCTATAATTACATTATTGACATTCACAAACTTGCAAAAGCTACCGCCTACAATTAGAAACTAAAACTAATACTAAAATAAAATAGTTCAATGAGACAATCTTGAACAGTTGGTTGATCCACCAGATAATCGGCAAAATTCTCACCAAGTTTCTAACCAAGACAATCACAAAGTCTGAAAAAAGAAAAAGTCAACCACCAGTTTAATAGACTATTACAGTAGCATTTTTACATTTAATGACAAAATACTTTTGAAATCTAGATTGAACTCACTTTAATGATGAACATATTTAGTGAAATAGGCTCCATAAATGCATAACATCCACCCTCAAATGAACACGGTAAGATGCATACGATTATCAAGCACAATCACTATATTAACAATTCCATTTTTATTAGCAACTAATCCATTTATAGTATCATCATGGCCCTTAATTGACTCCAAACACTTCTAATTTGTAAATATGTATCAAGTCTGCTTAACTATGCAATATTTGGCCTCATATCCTTATTTATTTTCTTGACAGAAGGCCTATACATTGAAAACCAAGTAAATACATGACTTAGAGCAACTTGTAGCTAGAATGTCTTACCAAATGTCCAGATCCAAGTGCAAAAAAGGAAGAGTTTCAACTCCACATTAATCATCCAGAATGCACTATTAGCCAAATCTATAGAAAATTTATGTTAATCAACCAAAAAATATTAATGACAATTTACAATAACAATTAAAACTATTATAATTAAAATATCCTTACCTTGTTCGTGCTGTTCAAGGACATCTATATCTTCCTCAACACTTATAGGTCGTGATTCACTTCTAATCCAATCTTGAAGGCACACTAGAGTTTGCACCAATTTAGGAGTTAATGAACTCCTAAATGAATCCAAGATACGTCCACCAGTACTAAATGCACACTCGGATGCCACACTTGAAATAGGAATAGCTAACACATCCCGAGCTATCTCAGCAAGAACGGGAAATCTAGGTGAGTTTATTTTCCACCAAGACAAGATGTTGAAGTTCTTGCTTTCAACTTCATTTTCTTCAGCAAGATATTTTTGCAATTCTGTTTTGATAGTTTTTTGTATTTTCATCTTTATGTTTCATTAGATCACCCATGAATGTCCGTAAAGATCCTATCGATTGGACACTACTACCTGAACTTGAAAGCAATGAACTAGAATTTTCAAATGAAGAACTAGATAAAGATGAAAAGTGTTGACTATCTTTATCTTTAGAAAATGACTTTACATATTCACCAAACAACAAATCCGTGTAGTCTCTAATTCCTTTCTCTAAAATTGGACCTTCTTTCCCAAACATCATTTGAAGTGCAAAGCCAACATAAACAAACTTGTGACGAGGATCCAAAACACAAGAAATAAAAATCATCTTGTTCATCTTCTTTGGAGTAGCCCAATACTTATCAAATTTTTCTCTCATATTCGAAGCAATTTTACCCAAAAGATCATCATTATCATTTTCACTCGATATCAATTGTTTCAAATAACAAGAAACCTCACAAATTTTAAGAAAATGTGAGTTTGTTGTGACATAGTGTGATCCAGATATTTCTCTGGTAAGATCATAAAAAAATTGAAGAAAATTAGCAATTTTTCTTACATTGTCCCAGTCATCACTCAAAAGGGCACCAACAATGCTTCCATCTTCATCCTCAACAAACTGAAGGTAATGTAACAAGCCAATATCACGAGCAGTATAACTGGAAAATGCATTTTCAAACTCAATAGCCCTATTTAACATCAAGTATGTGGAGTTTCATCTCGTAGAAACATCCAAACATAAAGATTTTTTACAATTAATATCAACATTTTCACAACATTCTTGGAACCTCTTACACCACATAGGAGATTGCCTTATGTATTTAACTGCTTTTCTAACCCGTTCAATAGACACAACAGACACCTTGGTTATCTTGTACAACAAGATTTTGAATATTCGCTCTACACCCCACATGAAAGTGTTCTCCATTCATGAAATTGATCCCCCGTTTAGTGAATATCTTAGATAACTCTTTCACAGTCAATTCATTCGAACTAGCATTATCGATTGTGATGGTAAATATTTTATCTAAGCCCCAATCACGCAAACACTTAATAATCTCATTAGCCATATCTTCACCTTTATGGCTGGAAATTAGATAGAAGTTGATTATCCTCTTACGCATAATCCATTTATTATCAATCCAATGTGCAATGATACACATATCATTAATCCGTTGCAAAGAGGTCCAAGTATCAATTGTCAGACATACTCTTTATTGTGCTTCTCTGAAAAATCTCTTCAACTTTTGCTTATTTTCATCAAAAAGTTTAAAACAATCATGTGTCACAGTGGTATGAGAAGGAATCTTAAAATGAGGTTGCGCTACTTTCATAAAGTTTCTAAAACCTTCCTTCTCGACAAACTTGAAAGGTAGTTCATCCACAATTACCTTGCGGCATAAAGCTCTCCTACATTGTTCTTGCTGGAAACAACAACCACATAACTCGTATTCCCTCCCTGAACAGATTGAAAGCCTATTTGAGTTTCACTTTTATCAACACTTTTAGGCATCTTTGTACATGTTAACATATGAGTAAGCATTGCCATTGTACCATTTTTAACTGAATCAACAAAATAATCTTTGACCGCAATGCTTACACTTTGATTTCTTATTTCCTTCTTCATCAACAAATGATTCAAAATGATTCCATGCTCGAGATCTTTTCTTTCTTTATTTTGTAACCTTTGGCCGAACAGATTGTGTTTGACGCATAACATTTGAATTAATACTTTCATCACCCAAGACCACCACCTCATCAGTTGAAATATTTTCAGCCATATATATGTCTCTGCAAAATATGATTTAGACAATAATCACTAATCAGGCAGCAATAATGAAATAATTTCAAGGTAAACTAAAGAGAAACTAAAGAGATATCTTAAAGGAGGTCTTCAACATTACTGAAAAGGAAAAATAATCAAATGCTTACCAAATTTAACCTAAATTAGGGTGTTTGATTCTGGTCGGGTACATTATCTAAGAGCAAGATCATTTTTTGAGGAATTGAGTATGGAGAGATAAGAAAAGCATAAGTTACAGAAGAAGAAAATTATACAAGGATAGATATTAGAGAAGAAGATGTAACAACTCGCAATTTGAAATAGCTAGGAAGAAGCTAATAATTAAAAATAGTCATTTTTGGAAAGAATGAAAATATGGAAATTTGTTTAAGTTTAGAAAAGTTAAGTGTTGGTCAACTTCAAACGGCCATAAATTCTAGCTCAGGATGATTTAGGTGTAATTCCAGATATAGTTAGAAACCTCTTGGAATGATCTTTCCAACGCCGCCAAGTTTGCACGATTCCGAGTTCGTATGAGTAAGTTATGCTTTTTGGAAGTTGGGCTGTTCAAATAAGGAAATGTCCAATCCGGATTTTAAGGGGTATTTTAGTCCTTTCCTTGCCCCATAATTTTAATCAGTTTTTAGTCACTTTTAGAAATTGGAAATTTACGCTAGGGCTTGGAGAAAGGAAAAAAGAGGAGAAAGAATAAGAGAGGGCAAGATTCATTAAGATCGGTCCATTTAGTTGTTGTTTTCACCAAGGATTTATTCATATCGAGGCTTTCATAATGTTGGGATCATTCTCCTATGTGCCAAACATATTTATTTCAGTATGGATTCGTCCTAAAAGAGTTTGAAAGTTGAAGTTCTTGATATATATTCTTGATTTTTATGTTCTTGAATTTGATTGATATGGGGAAGTTTCTGAGATCGTTACGTCGTATTATATAGTCGTTTTGAATTAGGTTCTGAGGTACATTTGCTGGGTATCTGTATCTTAAAGGAATTCGAGAAAAAGAATCGAGTTTGGGTGAATTGGGGCTGGAAAACGAAGAAGAAATTTCGTCGAACGAAATTTGACACTAGGGGTGCATCGCGGAGAAGGTTCCCAGATTTGGGGATTTCTGTTTCGCGTCGCGGAGCTGACACGAAGTGTTCTGTCTAAAAAGTTGTCTTCGAAACCAAAAATTAAATATGCCTCCGCGTCGCGGACCCACCCTCATATTTTGATACTTCGGTCTTTTCTCATATTTAGCTATCTAAAATCATTCCTAAACATAATGGGATCTTTCCTATCACAAATCACGATTCTTGAATCCATAATTCAATTCAAGAATCAGTTAAGAGTCATGTCAAGAAGTCAAGAGTTAAGTCAAGATAAGTTCTTAAAGTTTTCAAAAGTCTTTCACAAATATTTTAACTTTGTTTTAAGGCTTAAGTTCAAGTTAAGCAAAGAGTAAAGATTTGAAGTTTCATTCTTCAGAGAAGTATATGGGAACTAAGTATTCCCAAGAAGTTTGAAAATGTTTTCACATTTTGAGAAAGAAAAGGGAACATCGATTCCAAGAGAGCTTTTAAGCTAAATTTTGAGTAATTATCTCAAACCAAATAAAGAAGTTGTTTTAAAACATATGAGCTAAGTATATTTTTGGGAGTAGTATTGAGCACCGATATGGAGATGCGAGTTCATATTAACTCAAGTCTCCATAAACCATGTAGCCATCATGGATATTAATGGATCATACTTTTTAGATGATGACATAAGTTAAGCTAGTGGATCCACTAAGTTAAGTAGTTCTATATGAAGGCAGAGTATAGGACAGTCTGGCAGCGTGATTGTAAGAACGATGTATCATCACTTAGTCTCATAGTGGTGGTTGTCAATTAGAGAACCTCCCACAGAAACCATATTAATTTCTTATATGAGTAAAGTTGAGTTTGTTATTGCTTTATCTTTAACGAACTAAGTTGGTTGCAACTGTTTTATAAGTTTTTTTTATATATTGCATGTGCTTCATTGCTTTATATTTGAGTTAAGTTATCCAGAAGTTGAGATGAGCCAAGTAAGTGTTTCCTTTCAGAATCCTTTCAAGCCTATATCTTGTTTTAGCATTCCAACTCGCATACTCGTACATTCAATGTACTGATGTCAGTTGGCCTGCATCGTATTATGATGCAGACGCAGGTAACCAAGATCAGCATCCAGGGCCTCGTTGATCCAGCTTGAGCATTCAGAGTCTGTTGGTGAGCCTCATTGCATTCCGAAGGACTTCTTTATTTGCTTTCTAGTCTTTTAGATGTTAGGATAATCGGGGGTCCTGTCCCAACATCCCTCTTTGTTTTAGAGGCTTCATAGACAGTTAGTAGTCGGATGTCTTTACATTGTCATTTCATATGTTAAGACTTGAGTTGCCATTTTGGCCAAGTTGAATGTTGACTTTTAAACATTCTAAGTTATTTTAGTAAGTTCAATTTTGAGACAGTTGAGTTATTTAGCATGTGAATCTCTTTCTTAATGCTTATAGTCTTCCGCTGAGTTAAGTAAGTCAGGCCAAGAGTTCGCTTGAGGCTAGCAATGGTCTTCGAGTGCCGGCAACGTCCAGGGTGTAGGCTCGGGGCGTGACAAACTTGGTATCAGAGCCCATAGTTCAAGAGTCCTAGGGTGTCTATGAAGTCGTCTCTGTAGAGTCCTATTTATCGGTGTGAAGTGCGCCACATTAATTAGGAGGCTGCAACACTTAGGAAATTATCTCACTTCTTTCACACTCATTTCGTGCGTTAGAGTTTGATCTCTAAAAAGTTTCCCTCTAATTCGTGATTGTGCGTGTTTTCAGACAATCATGCCTCCACGAAGAGCAACCAGAGGTCGTCCTGCTAGGAGAAATGTCAAGGAACAAGGGGTACCTAATGCACTAGAAGTGCAACCCCAGGGAAAGGTCACTAAGGCTGAATTCCGTGAAGCTATCCAGATGTTAAGTCAAGTTGCGACCTATCAAGTTGGACAGAGAGATGATCAACATGAAGTGGCTGATACTTCAAGGATCCGTGAGCTTTTGAGGATGAACCCACCAAGCTTCACAGGTTCAAGTGTCACTGAGGATCCGGAGAACTTCATTGAGAAGCTGAAAAGGTTATTTGATGTGATGCGTGTTGCTGATGAGGAGAGGGTGCAACTAGTTGCATACCAAATGAAGGGTGTCGCTAGAATCTGGTTCAACCAATGGAAAAAGAATAGGGCTGAGGATATGCTAGTAGTGAGTTGGGTTGTGTTTGAGAGTGCTCTCATGGGGCGCTTCCTTCCCCGTGAGTTGCGAGAGGCAAAGATAAAAGAGTTTCTCACCCTTAAGCCGAAGTCTATGAGTGTTCATGAGTACAATCTGAAGTTCACACAACTTTCCCGCTATGATCTGGAGATGGTTGCTGACATGAGGAGCAAGATGAGTTTATTTGTTGCTGGGTTGTCTCGTTTGTCAAGCAAGGAAGGCAGGGTAGCTATGTTGATAGGGGATATGGACCTAGCAAAGCTTATGATCCATGTACAATAATTTGAAGAGGATAAGTTGAAGGATAGAAAAGATTTTAAGAATAAGAAGGCTAAGACATCAGGGAACGAGTTCACGCAGCAAATAAGTAATGCCAATCGGTCATCCCTCCAATAGAAACAGAAGGGACTTGCTCTATCATCTGCTAGTGCACCTGCACCTAAGAACAAATGTGAGTACAATAGTCAGAATTCCCAAGGTTTCGGAGCTAAACCTGCCTATTCTCAAGGCAGTATGGCATATAGAGGTGGTAAGGCTCCTGCATGTGCTAGGTGTGGTAGAGACCACCAGTGTAAGTGTCGTGATGGGCAG